TTTTTTTAACAAACTGCATAATTTTTATTTGCTTGCACAGCGATAAACACAAAGACTGTGTAAATATTGGTTAGAAGCGATTTTTATGTATTCTCGCTACGCTAATACGTTAGGTTGTAAACTTAGCCTAATACTGAAACTCAGCTGGACGCCATATTAAAGCTGTATGACTATTATTTACCTAAATTAACAATTTCATTATTACATTGGCTCAACTATGCCACTTTATGTGTATTTTCGAACCTTTTTTAAACAGCGCATCTCTTAAAAATTTAATAATGGCGAAAAATTCATTGCTTCATTCATTGCAGATTTATTTCAAAATCTTCAAATCCTTATAAATTTTGAGGCGCTCGAGTTTTAGAGGGGGTGGTACCGAAATTCACTCGACAGAATGTACCTCGTTTTTAAATTAGGAACTCACATTCATATATATTCGCGATTTTCTTGACTGCATATTACGAAAAGGAATGCTGAGATTTATAAAAAGAATTCCAAGTCGCGCAGATTAAAAAAGAGCTTCGGTGTAAATTTTATGTCTGAGTTAATTTTAAATTTGATTAGTAGTAAATTTTATTCCTCGAATCCTTTTGTACTCTTCACACTCATGAAAATATATTTATGCTAGAATATGATGTAAATTCTTTACCATTATGGTGTATGATTTGAGCCAATACCAATACGTATTTTACACCAACGGAGTTTATATTATGTTCTAGAAACAAGAAAACTTGTATACCACTGGCATAATATACATATATGCCGAAAATCAGTAAAAAAAATTGACGGTAGGTGTAAATAATGCACGAAAAAGCGGCATAACCTTTACACTGAATCGAAATAAACTGTTCAAAAACTGCGCTTAGAAATAGCATATTTTTTATATTGAAAATGTATATCACGCCGATGTAAAAAGTACACAAAATATTTTGGTGTATTTTTGACTTTTGTGCTACTTGAGTACTTGTTGTCGTAGACGTTTTTTTTTTAAATTTATGGTTTACTTTTATAAAATCACATAACGCTGTTTGCAAGTGGGCTGCTCATATATGTATTCATTAAAAGATAATTTGTCATCCGTCTGAAATGAAAAAAATTTTAAATCAGAAGGATAAAATAGTATTGTGTTATTAATTCAAAAGTAAATAATTGTAGTTCAATGACGAAGGGGGGGGAGATCTATCCCCCCATATCCCCCCCTGGCTACGCCACTGCTGGTCGCCATACATATTTCCAAACACATCGAACTTGGAAGGTGCTTTTCGCAAAACGTAAACGCTGCAAAATATTTTTTTAATATGTTTGGCTTTCGTCTGACTGTTCGTCCATGAAATTTTTTCCCGTAAGCCGCCTTTTTACCGTCCTTGCCGATATTTCTGGTATTGTTTGTGTACCAGCTCCAAACTCGACCTTATTTGTGTTGATGAGAGGAACGGATCAGCTTTAATCAACCTGGCTATAAGCCAATTTTTCACAACCGTGGCCTTGAAGTGCTTGCAATTTTTTATAGCGTTGACAACTTTTCCACGCGATAATGTCAAAGTTTTAACCACCGCAGCCATAGATCCCGTCTGAAGGAGTCGTATTTTTGTTTTTGCCCATAAGGAAAATAAAACTGCTTAAATCAATACAACATACACTGAAATTGAGTAGTCCACTTGCAAAGTGCGCTAGTTTTTGGTAGCTAAGGAACCAGTATTTAAAGTAGTTTCATGTCCACTCACAATACAGTGCAAATTCCTTATATATTCTGAAAAAAATAACATCAAATGTTAGCTACTCTAGCAAAAGTCGCTATAATACTAACTGTAAGTATATATACACTTTCAAAAGTCGCTATAATATTTATTGTACGTATTTATACAAGTTAAAAGGTCTCCATCTTCTAATGAACTTAGAAAACTGCAAGAAAACGTGGTACTTTCGCTATATTAATTTAATAATTAATAATGAAAAAAAGATACAATTTGGATTTTACTTGTTGTTGTATGGCTTACTATTATAAAATCACATAACGCTGTTTGCAAGTGGACTACTCAAATATAGATATTGCGCGCAGGTTGACTTTCGTTTAAATACAAAGATTTTTTCGCATAATTACCTATTAAAAGCAAAATGACTTAATTATTTGTCCAAATCAATCTTAACCCAACAGCAAACGTGCAATGTGAAGCAAGAAGTAACGTATAACTTCCGTATTTGCGAAGGTGGATAATTGGACTACGTTATCGGAGTACATACATATGTACATACATTTAATGCAACAAAAAGTAATGTGCTGTTATTACAACTCCACATGAAAAATGTTATGCCAATGGGTAGGTTAAGAATGGAAAGGTTCAAAGGTACACACCAACATGTCTCAAATTACACTATGCGACAGTCAAAATCGGGATGGGATGAAACCAACGGGAAATGTTATATCGGTCAAAAACAAGTTATACGTGGCCCGGCGTTTCGCTAGGTCACGTCTAGGAATCGAGATATATCGATTTGAAGTTAGTAACTATCATATAGGGGAAATTGTCACCTTTGGTGGTCTTTTTTTTTGACATAACTCGAGAACCACTAGTCCGATTTTGCTCAAATTTAAAAAAATTAAAAATTACAATTCCTTTAATCTGTTCATATAACGTTTTTCTATATAATCAACAGTTTTGCCGGTAAAAAAAATGTATGAAGAAAAAAAAAATTATTTTTGCCTAAATAAAATATTTTTTTTTTTTAATTCATAAAAAATCCAAAACGCAAAAAGTGTCACGTAAAGTCACATAACCTATGAACAAAATGAGACATACATCATGAAAATCAATGTATGCGTTTCGCTTTTGTTCAAAATTAAGTAAAGGTATGAATTTCAAAAATTTTCTCGAGATATGCTCAAAATTCCGTGGAAAAAACATTGATGACTTTTTTTTTATGATTGTCAGAATTAAAAAAAAAGTAATAAACAAAAGGTTATTTGATTTTTATGGTAGCGGCAACAAACTAAAACACGGTCATAAATGTGCGTGGACAATTAAAAGGAAAAAAGGAAAGTGCACTTTTTTAATTATTTGGGTTTTTTCCGTTGGCTACCTGCATGATTTTTTTACACAAATTGCACCCACATTTATGAGTGGTCATGTTTTAGAACGTTTCGAAAAATTTAAAACGCACACGAATCAGGTATATAGCCAATCTTAAAAGATGCGCCAATTCATAAGTACCTCTCAGTAAAATATTGAAACTTACGTAGTATTTATAGGTGTTCATTGATCGATTTTTGTCATTCAACAAGTGTCTCCGAACGCGTAAAGTACGATTTTTTTTAAAGTGACGAAAAAGTAATAAAAGTATAAAACAGAAATGAGTGCAAATTGTCCAGAAAATATCAATTTATTTTGTTACGTTTGTGGCAAAAGAGCTTTTTCAACAAATACTGCATTACTCACTGAGCAAGTGGAGCGCGCTTTTAAACTTTATTTTGATTCCGAAATAATTCGCGGCGTTTCGTGGGTCCCAGACAAAATTTGTAAAACGTGCTACAATGGTCTTAACATGTGGATCCAAGGGAAACGCAGTTCACTTCCTTTTGATGTACCAATGATTTGGACTGATCCAGGAGAGCGCAATTCCGACAACTGTTACGCTTGCGCAAACAAAATATGTGGAGTAAATCGTAAAGGCCTTAAACGAAGAGTTTACATATCTGTTAAAAGCGCACAAATGCCTCTACCGCATTCGGATGAAATACCAATTCCACCGCTTCCAAGTCCT